AGTCTTGAGATTTTTTTCGCTTCCCCCTTTATCTAATCCGCTAAGCCTTTAATAGCCTTTAATAGCCTTTTAGCAGCTAATCCGCTAAGCCTTTAAGCCTTTAATAGCCGCTAAACCGCTAATAGCGCTAATCCGTTAAGCCGCTAATAGGGTTGCTTCGCAAGACGAAAAAACCGCTAGACGAAGACTCTCGCGGAACGGATTAATTTCGTCTTGCGAGGCACCACTGTATCTCTTTCTCAGAGGTTGATACACATGAGATGTGCTCCACGACAGATGGTGTGTTTGAACCCCCCATTCCCCCGTAACTTACTTATGAGGACTTCCACAGCCAGAGGATGGCAAGTCACATTAGACTGAGCAGCCATTTCAGCGAATCTTGGGTTCCACTTCCAAATGGCACCAAGATCTCAATAGGGAAGTGCTGCTCAAGGTCTCTAGATGGCTACCACCAGCATTACATGGAATCGAAACCAGATGCTTATCCCCACTGCCTGAGGTGTAATGGGTGGCTAGCAAACAAACAAACAAACTGCTTTTGGGATGGCGGCACCCTGACTGTGGAACCCTCTTGCCAGAGAAGCCTGCCTAGTGCCTCCTTTGTCATGTCAGGAATGGGCAAAGAATGCTAAAACAAAACAAAAAAATCTCAGGTCTTTCCCGGAAATTTACTATTCATTCTTGCTGATGAGCCTTACCTCGCTCTCTTAAGAAATTTGTTGCTTTACAAAAAATATTTGTGCCTTAAGGCACCCTGAAATATTTTAAGCCTGGGGTAGAAATACCTGTAATAAACACTGCCAGTCAGTTTAGACAGTACTGAGCCTGATGGACCAATAGCCATCATTATAAGGCAACTTCTTATGTTTCACAAATTACTCTAAAAGCCATTGAAGCAAGCAGAGTAAATATGTTGTTAGTGCTCCTCTGTCTCTACTGATGTGTCAAAAAGTTACAGTAGTTTGGCGGGTTGAATGTTGTTTTTTAAAAGAGGCAAGTGGGACACAGTCATACCGCAAGATGCTACAATCTGAACCAAACCACCACATATATGGTAACTACAAATTATGTTTCATATTACGTAAATAAGCATAAAAGTTCTCCTCCTGACAGCCAATAGGACAAAGGCAAAGTTTTATTTCATTCTCCCTAGCCAAATGCCACAGGATGTCTGTGCTTTGTAATTTTAGTTTATTGCTCATTCCTGCCCTTTCCTCATCTTTCCTTAATTAGACAGCATCTTTCCTTAATTAGACAGCTCTGAATATTGGCATTAGCAAACTATTGCCAATAGGATATAGTGTGACTTAATTATTCTAAAGCCAAGTGGTGACATTTCCTTGGCAATGGTCCTCTACCATAAGGTACACACAAAGGGTGCCACCATGATGGTTTTTGTTGGAAAGGGGTGCAGCTCTTCTGAACGGAAAGCTAAAAGCATTTGAGCAGGAAACAAAAGGCAGGGAAATCAGGCCATCTCCTGATGGTCACACAGAGGTAAAAGACACACCGCGCATTTCAAGCACATGGCTTCCCCCAGAGAATCTTGGGAACTGTAGTTTGTTAAGGGTACTGGGGATTATAGTTCTGTGAGTTCCCAGGATTCCTTCGGGAAGTCATTAGAAATTGGCACCACTGTAACTTTTACTCCTAATGCTGTCATGTGTGGGCAGATTTTTTTTTAACCCAAATTGTAGAACAAAACAAAAAACAATATAGGCACATGGTATGCAAACAGCAAAAGATCTAGCCTCACATGGTTTTGAAATTCCATATGACAACTACTCCAAATCTTTTTATGACTCCCTTGGGGTCCCCCCCCATCTCCTCCCCCAAAGTTCTCTCCAATTCCACTTAAGTACACAAGAAATAAGAAATGAACATTAAACTATAGCAGAACAATTAAAACCCTGGTAAAGCAAGTGTCAATTTGAAACCCCTCTAAGTGCCATTGGCTGGTCTGGAATCTAAACATTAGCTACATAAAGCAATTTAAATGTGTATATTGCCAACAGTGATTTGTGCAAAGGCACAAGTCCTATCTGAGAGTAATGGGCATATTTGAAAAGAGTGTTCTCAGTACTATCCATTAGGAATATCTAAATGAAGAGCGGAGTAAAAGAGGACACCATGAAGCACACTATATTCGGAATGGAAACATAACACTATTAAAAGCTGCAGCAAGGGTGCCCCTGTGTGGACACAACAAAATACTCTGATCTGTACAAATGGGATCTTTAGTGAAGGTCTACTCAAAACGTCTTTAAATAAAACTTTCTGCCCTAGTTAACAGACTACAAATAAGTAAAAGCAACCATGATATATTTCAAGAAAGAAACCCACTTCATGGTTTATTACACTTCTTCCCAAAACATTTTGTAACTGATACCTGTCTGGTAATAAATCACACTAACACATCCTACAAGTTTTTCTAAGTGTGTATATTGTGAATAGCATAATTAATTCAGCAAGATCTGAATGTGTGTGTATAGACAGACAGACAGATAGATATCAGAGAGAATACTACTATTATTGTGACAACAACAACACCCACTATATTTGCATCAAAAATATCCTAATAGCCTTAGAGCATCTATTGCTATTTAGGATGTAACAAAAGCATAACAATTCCAAACTGCAAATTACTAGCAGCTCCTAGTTTTACCTTTGACCAAACTACACCTTACATTAGACATAGGTAGGTATTGTAGAATTCTTTCTAAAAAAATTCAGAGCAGCTATAAGAGGCCTCAGGAGTCAGACTCCATCGCACAAAGTGGGGGCTAACTCTTCTTCCCATCCCATAGTCCTGATGAAACCACACACCCATAGCTTGTATTTGGCATGGGAGTGAAGCAGCCATTCAGGAGATAGCATTCTGGGACTGATAAATTAAAAACTTTGTTGATGAATAGCAGGAAAATCAAATGCCCTATAAGAGTGGGAGTGAAAAAGGCAAGTGTGCTCCAAGTTCCGTCCATTTTTGCAGAAAAAAAGTCACCACATTTTGGGGACTTTTCCACATGCTGAAATTACATATCCAATGAACCGTCAGGATTGGTGCTGGTATTGTCATTGTGCTTTCTTAAATCCAGTGCCAGAAGTAGCTCTCTTTGCAATACAAGAGAGGAACAGTAGGCTGCAGAAGATAGCCACTGGTGAGATGTTTCAAGAGTGCATTGCAGTGTTTACCTGAGTTCAGTCTCCTTTGGAATGAGGTCACTGAATGTGGACTACATGCTTCTCCATGTCCCCATTTCATCATCGCAACAACCCTGTGAGGTGTGTTAGACTGAATGAGCTTGATGGGCCTAAGTCCACCCAGTGAGCTTCATGGCTGAGTAAAGGTTTGAACCAGGCATAGGCAAACTCCGGCCCTTCAGATGTTTGGGACTACAATTTCCATTATACCCTAGCAAACAGGACCAGTGGTCAGGGATGATGGGAATTGTAGTCCTGAACATCTGGAGGGCCGGAGTTTGCCTTTGCCTGAACTTGAACCCTGATCTCCTAGGTCTCTCCAAGGCTAAACTCCCCCACCAGTCCTGCTCTCCACTCTCTTTTAGGGCTTTTGCCTGGCTGGAATGTGTCCTTCAACAGTAATAATGCCTCTTTCTTGCCTGGCTGAAGGATGGTAGGGCACTGTAAGAAATGTTCTAGTTCTCTTGAGAATAACTTTGGGATATCTTCAAGGATGAGACAAAAGGTCATTTTCCAAGGAGCGAGTGCATGATAACTATAAACCGAGTTGCTTCAGAAATGATTAGAAATAAAATGCAGTCAGTGCCTCAGAGACATACTGCACAATCCTCCTCAGTTGCATTTTCTTAACTTATCACGTGGATTTCAGAATGTGGTGCCCAAGTACATAAAGTAGATCTTTATCATTATTTACTAGACTGCTCATTGTATTCTGAACTAAGGGCAAAGTTTATCGTGAAATTGTTAAGTAAGATACCTGATGATGCAGCAAAAATTACATATTTGTTGTCCAAGTGTGACAAATTTGTGACAGAGCTACAAGATTTGCAGTGGCAGCTCAAAAGCTGAGGAGAATTTTTATCAAGGCTAATACAGTAAATGCAATTATTTAATTGGATGATTTAATTTAGAAAGTTACCTGGATGCTTTAAAATGTAAAATTTGCTTAACCACTTGTATTTTGATATAGATTTTCTCTTTTTCTTTTTTAACCTTTGCATACATATTATGTTATTATTGGTATTTTGACATATTTTAATATAAAGGCATACTTTGGTGCACACTGTTCTTCAAGATTTTATCAGTTTATATTATTTTCCTTTTCTTTGGTTGATATGACCAAGGTGGTCGAAATAACAATTAACAAGTTAAACCACACGATCCCGTGTAGGTCTACTCGGAAGGAAGTCCCTCGAAGTTCAACGGGGCTTACTCTCAGGTAAGTGGGCACAGGTTACCTGGGAGTTCGCCTCACTGAACATGGGGGAAATTGCTCTGAATAGACCTGCACAGGATCAGACCTCCTGAACAAGACGCAGAAGAGCGCAAAAGAATGATCTCGCTGGCAACTCACCCTGAACACAGTTTTCTCAAGGCAACTCCCGGCAGCAAAAATAGGGGAAATGCTTAACCCAGGACACTGACAAAAACAACAACACAAGACATCGGCTGCATCTGAGGGGACTGGATCCAATACATTGTCTGGTGCGGACAAGTTTCTCCAATATTTGGACTCCAACTCCCATCAGCCGCAGCCAGCACGGCCAATGGTCATGGATGATGGGAGTTGTAGTCTAGCGAACATCTGGCGGGCCGCTGCTTTCCTGGGTCTAACCCTGAGGGGAAACCTTCAAGAACCGGAAGGCTAGGCTGCTTGTGACCACCATGCCCGCCCTCCAGCTGGGCGGCAGGGAAAAGCTTGCGCCCAGCGCGCCGCCCCCGACGCGGGGAAGCAGGTAGGGCGCCCGCCCACCAATATCCGGGTCTCGGCATCTGGGGCCGCCCATTGAGCTGCGGACGCCGCCTCTTTTCTGTGACGGCTCGGTAGCCGGCGGAGCGAAGGAGGTTGAGGTAGCAACTTGGAATCAGCTGAAGCAGCCTCGCCGGGGGGCTGCCTTGGCGCGGAAGAAGAGCTGACGCTGCAAACCCCTGCGCAGGTGCCCGCGGCGCTCCAAGGAGGAACTGGGTGTGTGGGACACCTGAGGGTCATTCTCCCCAGCTTCCTCTGGGGCTCGGTTCAGGTCCTGCCTGTTCGCCGGCTGCTTGCTCAAGGGAGGCGAAGCGACTGCCCAGGTCAGTTCCTACTTCCTCGCGAGGGCTGTTTGTTTGCAAGAAGGCTGCACGCACCCCCCTGGGTTTGAAGCACATCTCCCCCCCGTGCCAGATTTACGTATAAGCTAAACAAGCTATAGCTTAGGGCCCCACTCTCTTGGGGCCCCACTAAAAATTTTCCACTATTAATATACTTCTTCTTAATTGTATTTCAGTTCAACAGTTAGTTTGATAAAATGCATATTTTGTTATGTGCAAATGGCTTCAGATACCTATTAGGTCCATAACTTGCCATATAGCATATATTCAACACAAAAAACAGGGACAATTTGTTGTTGACAAAGGACAGCTGGACATATAAAGGGCTCCATTACCTTCAGTAGCTTAGGGCCTCATCAAACCTAAAGCCGGCCCTGACGCCGCCGCCCCCCAAATTCTGGGAACTTTAGTTTTCCTAGCCCAGAGCTACAGTCCCCAGCACCCTTTAGAAACTACAGTTCTCAGGATTTGTGTGTGGTTTAAATGGGTGCTGTGCGTGCAAGTATCCCCATTAGCTGTTATCATTTCACTCCTCATCGACAATCATTTACTTCCAGAGTTTGCTGAAACTGCGCAACTGCTATCTAGTTACAGAGGTCAGCCTTCACAGTTGCCCAGTTTCTCCAATGCCAGCTGCCTCTGTGACTCTCCCAAATAAAAACCAGAGTTTATTGGAAGTAGATCTCATCGGTTTCCAACAAAATTGGCATGTAGAAGACGGGACTGTTCAGTTGTCGTGTTTTTCTCAGGCATGCTGAGCCTTGGGTTCCCTCTGACTTTTCAATTATATATTAGTTTTGTAGCAGACTGCATCCCAAAGGCTCAGGGCAGAGAATGCAGGTATTAAAAGACAATAGAAATGCGAGCCACACTTCTGAGCAAAATCAAGTGCACTTAATCATGTTGCCTGGTGCTCACCAATTATACTATTGATTTTCTTGTCTATTTGCTAGCTGAACTCTGAAAGCCAACCGGAATGGCACATGTCTTTAATATGGAACTAAAATAATTGCTAGCTTGGGAGTGGATCAGGAGTGATGATGAAACTGATGAGGATGATGCAAAACAAATACTAAAGATATGCTGAGTTTTTGCTTGGTAGTACCATGCAACAATAAGGGCAAAGTTCAAATAGATTGTTCTTCAAAACCCGGATTGGTTTCGAACAATACAAACATTGCTTAGAATGCAAAACAGCCCCATTATGCAATTGTCATATGAAGCTGTCCCACATTTATTTCTATGCAAGCATGTTCTGGGTTGTGACCTAAGTGCCTCTTAACCAAGAATCCCTGTATAACTGGTTTGTAAATGAAGCTGTCATATCTCTATAGCCTACATTGCAGTAGCCAGGAATTTCACATGCAACGTTGTAAACCCAGTTTTCTTATGGCTTTTATATCATTTCAGAAGAGAAAAATCATGCCTTATTCCGAAAGCAAAAAAATATTATTTGGCCTAATGGCAGGGGCTGCTGGAATAACCTTGGGCCTCATTTGGTATCGAAAGACACAGAAATGCAGTAAAGTCATGTACTTGCCTCCCTTTTTGAATTCAGAGGGCAGTTTTGACTTGGTAAATTTTCCACATGAAACTCATAATGAACAAGGAACTGTGATGCTATTGCAAGGAAGGCAGCTTCAGGTACTGGAAAAAATGAATGGTTTAATAGCAACTGTGGAAGAACTTAAGAGAGAAGTAACATTTCTGAGAGAAGCAATTCCAAAGTTGGAAGAACTTGTCCGGGATGAACTCCAGGGGAGAACAGATTCTCGCAGGAGCAGCCCTTTGCACAGAGGAACAAAGAAGAGGAAGACTGAGATTGGCAAAGGTGTGTCAGATACCAACAGTTCTGAAGAAGCAGAAAGTGAAGGCGGGTAGGTATTTATGAATTATTTCAGGTCTATCCCAATATATATATATATATATATATATATATATATATATATCACTATTTTGAGTGTAAGTAATTTGCAAATCCACTCTCTAGATCATGGCTTGTTAGCTTTACCTGTAGTTATCCAAACAGCAGCTCCTGGTTCAGTTATAATGGCAATTTGCCATTGGAAACAGAAACAAATGTTTCTGATCTCTGTGGCATTGCTGAAGGAAAATGGGAGTGGGGTACGAGTCTGAGGCTCAGTCGTTTCAGGTGAAGCTGTGGTGGGAAGTGTTTGGTTTTAAACCTGAGCTAGCTGCCCACCCCAAGGCAGGGGGGAAGCAATATTGGAAATCAGTGGCAGGTAAGCTGCATTCTCAACATTTTATTAGTACTATTATTATTTATTACATTTGTTAGTTGCTTTATCTTGCCCAAGGCAACTCAGAGCAACCAAGAAATCCAGCCAGTTTGCATTGCATGAAGTAGCCCAAAACCTTTCAAATATCAGTATATTTTAGGAAAGCCTATGGCAAAGGGATGTATTGCCTTTGCTCTTGCAAACTCGCCCTCAGTTTGGCTTTTGTATGATTGTTTTCAAATATTACGCACTAGTTGCGCTCCTTGGTTTGCTTCAACTCCAGAAACCTTTAGCATTGCAGCTGAGTAGAACTTGCACTTCTTGGTCTCCTCCCATCTTAAGAGCTGTTAACAATGGAAAATACAATTCCTTTGGTGAAACATTATCCCTTCTGCTTTTGTGTCGGCACTTCTGCCGATAATATCTAATACTGGATCGCTCCTGTATCACTTTCCAGTGCTGACGTTGCCTGGAAATGGTTTAGTTAATTCCAATTCACTATAAAATTTAAATCTACAGCAGTGTGCCTGTGCCAGAAATTCCACTCAGAAAAATATCCACCAGACTGTCATATCTGGTGTTGTAGGTGCATGTTGATGTACTATGTACTATGTATTATGTATTTAATAGAAGGCATAAGCTGTGCCTTCCCACCTTGTAAAACCAAGGCAGTTTCCATTGATCAGTACAACTTTAGTAAGAAGGGAAAAGGTAATGAAACATAGCAAAACAAACCCCAAAAAATCATAACAAAGCAGACCCACTTAATAATAACCTCTGGGAGAAGAGATTGTGAAGTAGCTCTTAATTTCAATGGAACACAAAAAAGACAGCCTCAACTTAGATAACAAAGTTTCTGTGCATGCTTATAATTGTATCATAACCAAGCTAATAATGTAGTATTTGCCTAGATACATTATATTGTTGTTTCTGTGCAATTATTTATCAAATAAGTGCTAATATTTGAGTAGCGAGAGTGGCTTGTGACAGCTCTAGAAACATATTTGCCAAGACTCCTTATTCTGCCCTCTCTTTGCTGGATTTGCTTCAGAGTAAGTGGATTCAATTTACTGTTTGTTTGTTTGTTTGTTTGTTTGTTTGTTTGTTTGCTTGCTTGCTCATTTTTTTGTTCATTCATTCATTCATTCATTCACCTGATGGTCACAGGGTAGTTTTCAGTAAAAAAATACATAACATAATAACAAACCGAACAATATCCTCACACAAAATTTAAAAGGCAATTTTAATTAAATCAGAAAATAGATTAAATTAAATCACAATTTAATCAGCCAAAGGCCTAAATATAGAGAAAAGTTTTTGTTTGGCACCTAAAGGTATGTAATGAAGGTGGCAGGCGAGCCTCCCTGGGGAGAGCATTCCACAAACAGGGAGCCACTACAGAAAAGGCCCATCCTAGTATTGCCGCCCTCTGGACCTTTTTTGAGGGGCCTCAGATGATAAATTATATATATATATATATATATATATATATATACACAAAACTAATAAAAATGTGTGTGTGTGTATACACACACACACACACACACACACACACACACATTTTTATTAGTTTTGTAACATATCATTTCCAAAAGTCATATAACGTAACTTCTTATCTTATGCAATGTTTTAGACTTCCGTCAACACCTCTGATGATTTTTCGTTCTTTATCACTTATTCTGCATTTCTTATATTTTCTATTACTCTTTATTGTCATTAACAAATAATTCTCCTCATAGTCTTTCTTGCAATATTTCTAATAGTCCTCCTTACAAAACTTCTTGCACTCTTGACGTTCTCCTCCAATGCATCATGTTTCAATAGGACCGGTCTGAGAATTGGCCACTAGAGGGCAATCATATGAAGGTCACCGCTTTTATCTTTGTGGGAGCATTTTTTTGTACAGTACACAATATATGGATGAGTGACTGGTGGTGTCAGTTTTTAACTTGCATTACACCAAACAAATATTGGAATGATCCATACAGGTGACAACCTTTAATGTTTTATGTATAAATTACAGAAAAGAAAAGCAGGCAACTGAAATGCTGATTGTAAAATGTTTTCCTTGCTCAAGTTGCTTGGTTAGTTTTTAAATATATATTTCAGTCTGTTGGTGTTCTATGCGCTAATTCTTCAGAGCACTGACTAGAATTCACAGGCAGAGGGAGAAGGAAATGGAGAACTCCCAGCTAACTTCATTCAGTGGCTACATTCCCCTACCGCCCCCCCCCAAACCCTTTCCCTTCCTTGTGGCTCTCTTGGGATCCCCCAGAAGTGTGGAGAGCATTGAGACCCTGCCATACCTGCATAGATGAAAACCAGCCCAAATTCAAGGTGCAGAGGTTTTGGTTTGCCTAGAAGTGTCCTCTTGACATATATGACCTTCCTTTGTTTGTAATCTAAGCTGGGAAGATAAACTATGAATTACACTGTCTCCTCACTTTCCCACTCCCTGTCTTGACTTGATTTTGTCTAGCATTTGCAGAAGCTAAAAAGTGGTACTTATGGCATGCGGGGGGGGGGGGGAGCCCACTCAAAATTGTTGCAAACTTAATAAGAACTCCAAGAATAAGTACTCGATGCATCATATGAAAACGTCTTGATGCGTTAATTTTTATTTGTACAGCAAATCTTGTAATATCCATTACAAATTTTTCAACCTTGTGAGAACAAGGCCTTGACAGAATGTTTTTGTTTTTTAAGCCTGGAACTGTTTTCGTTGGCAGGAAAGCGATAACTTTCCTCATCTCAAGGTCTTGGTGAGCAACATTGATCGCTATGCCTATAACCCTGGAAGGGTATTTGATGTGGTGCCGAAATGCTGCTAGCAGCAAAGTAGATGGTATCATGAAGGAACCTGTAATCCCACATAGTAAATTTTTATCTTTGCTATTGCTCAGGGTCTTAAAACACTTTCAGTTGGTAGCTTTCAACAAGTGAAATCTCTTTTGCTCTCTAATTTAAAGCATAAATATTGCACCAGAAACAAAAGGAGTGGGTAGTATGCTTTGAAAAATGCTTGTCGTTAACATTTCACTGCATTCAGACTTAAGTTTCACTGAATTGGGTCAGTGTCCAAAGTAGTATGCTGTTTTGGCATCGGGAAAATGCTGCTTTAAAAACCCAGTGGGTGCATAGAAGGTAACAATGAAAAATTTTGTTTTTAATAGTGGTATACAGTAGAAACGGGACACGGGGGGGGGCACTGTGGGTTAAACCACAGAGCCTAGGACTTGCCGATCAGAAGGTCGGCGGTTCGAATCCCCGCAACAGGGTGAGCTCCCGTTGCTCGGTCCCTGCTCCTGCCAACCTAGCAGTTCAAAAGCACGTCAAAGTGTAAGTAGATAAATAGGTACCGCTCCGGCGGGAAGGTAAATGGCGTTTCCGTGTGCTGCTCTGGTTCGCCAGAAGCGGTTTATTCATGCTGGCCACATGACCCGGAAGCTGTACGCCGGCCAATAAAGCGAGATGAGCACTGCAACCCCAGAGTCAGCCACGACTGGACCTAATGGTCAGGGGTCCCTTTACCTTTTTATGCAGTAGAAGTGGACACTTTAGCAGAAGAATACATTTTAGCAGATTTCACTTAAACATGCAGTGCCTCAGAACCCAACCCCTGTGTAAATGGGGAGTTGCCTGTATTCTGCAAAAGCACAATTGATATTACAAAGTATGGCTTCTTCTCTCTCTCTCTCTTTCTGTAATTTCCATTAACTGAGCAACTTTCTTAAGATGGCATAACTGGTAAAATTGTTAAAGTTGCTAAGACTGCTGGCTTTTGTCGCCTTTAGGAGAAGTTAAGCTATTCCCACCCACAAAACCCTTTGTGTTTTAGCTACATTACAGCTCATACTGACACTGAAGGTGAATCTGAGGAAGAAAAAGGATGGATCAGTTCTTCCACATCTCCTCTGGCACCTGAAGAGAAGATAGAATTATTTAATCTTCTACAGAATGCGGACAGGTTGCATTATGGTTCAGACAATGAGAAAAGGGAGAGCTTCAAACTGCTGCTTGAAAATGAGGAAAAGGTATAAAGGGTCCATGCCATGCAAACATTTCATACTAAAAGCTATAATTCAGTGCGCTATATGTCATTCTCTTGAATGTTTATGTAATGTTAAAATTAAAGGAGGTATTGCAGAAGGTGCCACAGGGTATGATTACAACTCAGTCCTTGCTCTGATAGAAGAATTAGATTTTCTCAGCCACAAAATGTTGTGGCTGGAACACTAAACAAATGTGACATTCCTGCAGCATAATCTCTACTTCAGCAGAAGGCGCCTGGATTCTGCACAACAAACTAGCAACAACTCTCCACTTTGTTGGAGGGTAACTGGAAAAAATTATTGATTTGCAGTGGCTGTTTATTTCAAAGCCCTATTTGTTGTTCCTCAGAAGTATCTGGAAAGACCAACAAAAGAAATCAGTGGCTGAATAGAATGAATCAGAATACAATAAGCTTGAATATGTGCAGAATAAAAAGTGAGGGCTAGCATAACAAGCATTTTAATTATGGCAAAAGAAATATGTGGTGAAGGCAATCTAATGTATTCAAATTCTGTTTATCTGTTTATCAAATTCTGTTTATTTGCAGTATAGAAATCATACTGGCTTTCTTTGGAGGCTTGCCCGAGCTTATGGAGACATGTTTGCAATAACCACAGAGGCTGAAGAAAAAAAGGACTATGCATCCAAAGGTCAGCTGAGTTATGTACTGAGTTTATAATACCAGAGGATTAGGTTCCCCTGCTCCAGCCCTGTGTTTCACTTGGGGGATACTGGAGCCAGCAGAAGGGCTGAGCACCAATCCTTTTAAAAAACTATCATGATAGGAGTTTTCTCTTCATACCTGGGTTGTTTTTCAGTTACTAGACACAGTTCTAGACATGGTTACCCATGTCCCACTAAAATAACTGAGACTTGTTTCAGGGCAAACATGGTTAGGATTAGTGATAATCGTTTTAAGCCAGTTAACCTTTGAACTGGCTTTATAAAGTTCAACATTGTCCATTAATTATTATTATTTTATTAAATTTATATACCGCCCCTCATCCAAAGATCACAGGGTGGCTCACAAACTATAACTAACTATGGTGGAACCATGGAAGCCGAACGCCTGTAAACTCGAACGTTTCGACTCCCGAACGATTGAAAACTGGAAGTGATTGTTCCGATTTTCGAATGATTTTCAGAAGCCGAATGTCTGGCACGGCTTCCGCAGCTTCCGATTCTGCAGCCAATCGGAAGCTGCGCCTTGGAAGTCAAATGTTTTGGAAGTCAAACGGACTTCCAGAACAGATTCCGTTCGACTTTGAAGGTACATCTGTATTGTTATCTTTATATTGCATAGCATGTTCGTCAGCTAATATGGTCAGGTTTATTGTTATATCACGAATAGTACTTTTATGTTCTGTGATGCATCTTTTGCAGGAAAGCTTGTGAGTGAAAATGCTGTAAACCTGGATCCATCAAGTGCTGAGAGTCACCAGTGGTAAGTCTGAAGGACTTGGATCCATCGAATCAAATCTTTATTGTTACAGCCAATGACCAGGATTAAGAAAGCAAGAAATAAATAAACACGAACCATGTAGAACACATTATCCAAATGTGTATAATAGGGTAAAATAAAATCAATAGAAAGTAACATAAAATAAACTAAAATAGGCCACACTGAAAGCAATACAGTGGAACCTCTACTTATGATCATAATCCATTCCGGAGGCCCGTCCGCTGGGCAAAACCAGATGCTAGTAGAGGCGCCATTGTGCGCATGCGCATTCGGCGACAGCGCGTTTCTGCGCATGCGTAGACAGTGGCAGCCACTTGTGCGCACGTGCAGATGGCAGAAGCTGCTTCTGCGCATGTGCAAATTGTGGCAAGCCTGGTGTATACTTCCGGGTTTGCCGTGGTTGCAACTTGGAACGTCCGCGAGAAGAGGCGGATGTAAGTCGAGGTTCCACTGTAGATGCATTTTGATCTGAAAGGAGTTAAAAGGACGTAAAATGCATCTGATCATTCTGGAAATTAATAAAAAGGGGTTCAATAGATTTGATCTTTCCAGAGTTATAGGGGCACTTGCATTCAGACTCTCTTCCCATTTAAGCATATCTCCCCCAAAGACAGCATCTTAAAAAGCAGAGACATCACCTTGCCAACAAAGGTCCGTATAGTTAAAGCTATGGTTTTCCCAGTAGTGATGTATGGAAGTGAGAGCTGGACCATAAAGAAGGCTGATCGCCGAAGAATGGATGCTTTTGAATTATGGTGCTGGAGGAGACTCTTGAGAGTCCCATGGACTGCAAGAAGATCAAACCTCTCCATTCTTAAGGAAATCAGCCCTGAGTGCTCACTGGAAGGACAGATTGTGAAGCTGAGGCTCCAATACTTTGGCCACCTCATGAGAAGAGAAGACTCCCTGGAAAAGACCCTGATGTTGGGAAAGATTGAGGGCACAAGGAGAAGGGGATGACAGAGGACGAGATGGTTGGACAGTGTTCTCAAAGCTACCAGCATGAGTTTGACCAAACTGCGGGAGGCAGTGGAAGACAGGAGTGCCTGGCGTGCTCTGGTCCATGGGGTCACGAAGAGTCGGACTAAACAACAACAACCCCCCAAATTGCTGAGGGAAACACATATTTAGGCTTACCATTGTGAAGGCTCTGCAATACTTTTGGACCAAGAGACTTGAATTCATATTGATTGGAGCAAATTTCACTCTATCCTAAAGCGAAAGTGTGGGGAAGGACCTTAGTCCCATGGAGAACACATGTGGGACATAACAGAAGGTCCCAGGTTCGATCTCTGGCCTCTCCAGGTAAGACTGGAGAAGATTCCTGTCTGAAATGATGGAGGCCCACTGCCAGTCATTGCTAAGCTGGATGGACCAGTGCTCTGACTCTATGAGGCAGTTTCCTATATTCCATCTCACTGCATTTTGTACATGCAGAGAATGTGTATACACACACATGTGTGGTAGGAGGTCTCAGCCACTCACATCTTCCCAATATATACAGTAAAATATGTGCAGTTATAACACGTGGGATCCACATGTGTTGTGAATGTTCTTACCTACATGGAACTGAAATGCTGCCTGTGTTATACAGCCTGTATAGCGAACTCCTTGTGTTTTCATCTAAACACAGAGAAGAGAAGGTGGAAGGACAAACAATGTTTCGAACCTCTGTAAGATCAGGGTCAGCCCACAATGTTTTGGCACCTGAGAAGGGAAATCTAAATGACATATTGTAGTTAAAACACAGCCCAAAATCAATGGTACCCCAAATCTAATGCTTCACTTTGCCTCCTGCTAGAGTCAGCCCTGTTTCAAAGTAACGGAAACCTGACCAGTGGCTTCTGAGTTACTCGCAGATCCCTAGCTGGACCATTAGGTGGCACTAATGGCCCTTCTTGCTCCCTGGCTTCCTCCTATTTCAGAGCCAAGTTGTTTTTATTGTGATTTCACAGTCCACCAAGGTTGCCCGTGCTGCTGACAGCTACGTGACTTAAGTGAGCAAGAAGTCTTCCTGTTCATGAGGTTGCAGCCCAAATGCCTCTTGATGGCATCCATACATCTCCACCCTTCCCTTTAATTTTGTGTCTGGCGCTGCCATCTTTTGTATCTTCCCATGCTGGTAGAAGTCTAGGAATATACTTGAGAAATAAAACTTACATGGACGACTCAGTTTCCTTCAGAATTATTGTCACGTTTGACATTTTCCCATTCACTTTTTCCTAACTGTATTATTATCCTTCACCAGCATAATTCTAGGCATGTCTATTCAGAAGTAAGTCCTATTGAGTTCAGTGGGATTTACTCCCCACAAGTGTGTGTGTAGAATTACAGCCAGTTTCTTTTCTAACTTCTCTGAATTATTACCTTCAACCAGTTTCTAGCCTCCCTCCTTTGTGGCTTTATTGGATAGCCTTCTTTAAACTCCAGTTAATTTCCTCTATTTACGCATGCTTTTTCAAACTTTATTTTTGAACCGTGCTATGTATCAGGGACCTAAGATCGGTTTTTAAAAACCACTAGCAACCTTCACAGTGATGTATTTCTGATCTTCATGAGATGTTCTCCCTGCAAGTTCTGTGTCTTTTGCATCATTTTTTTCATAGCTTTGGTTGGAAAAGTACACAGATGAGTACTCTCTATCCAGTATTACTTAAGTAGACTGGGCTAATGCACTTTGCAGCACAATCCTATGCATGTTTACACAGTCCCACTGTGTGCAATAGAGCTTACATCCTGGCCAGTATTTATAGGATTGCAGTCCTAGAGTTTATTTCACAGAATGTAGCTGTAATTGATCATGTTAAATCTTCATTTTACGAACATGTTTTGCTTACCAGAAGTTGATTTCGAGTTTTGCAAACAAATTTGTTTTTATTTTTTTTGCATGGAGATAGTGCAGAAGTTACTAATCTATTGCACTTGACTTAATGACTTTCCTCTATTGAAGACCTCAACTGCTGGAAAACCATTCTCTGCCAGCTCTTAGATTTCTTCCTTGAAAGGATGGGACTAGCTTGTAAGTGCCCGTTTTGCAGTTGCGAGTCATGAAAGCCCTCTGGTCTGAAAGCACCCTAGTGCTGCTAATCATTGCTCCTTAGCTGTAAGCTAATTGCAATTGACTACCTACATTTCAGGGATGTGCAATGCTTTTTGGTATGCTCAGTTCACTATGTTCTGTCTGCATTGTGAGTGTGGCATAGCCATGTGGGCAGAGTTCCCCTTTCTGCACTTTATTGGTAGTGACACATACACCCTTCTATGTACACTACAGTGCTGCATAGTTTGTGCTCCTCAATGCCATTTTAGCACCCTGTGTTGTGTATGTGCCTGTGTGTGGTTTTTACAGTTTTTGAAGTAGCGCAATTGCAAAATAAAAATAATTTGCTTTCAATTGTTTGCCGCACAGCACCAGATTGCAGCTGAGCTTTTATTTGAGTAAACATGATTACAGATCAGTCTGAAGGTCCCTTGGATTTCACCTTAAAAGGCTCGATCTCTGCTGTAGCCAGTTTCACTGGACCTAATCAGGTTTCACAACCTGGTTAGAAAACTTGCCAGCTTGATTTCTCCCTGCTTGTTAGTTGCACCATTCTACTATAGTTCAATTGCATTTTAAAAAATTAATTAGTTATTGCTTGCAGCAAGTTTAGAGGGTTACAGTCAGAACCTACACATCCTGTGCTTGGAAGTAAGTCATGCTCTTCTTAATGTAATCTATGAATCTAATTACTAACTGAAGCAATTCATTAAGGCTATGAACCAGTAGATCAGGGGTCAGAACTTGATAGTGCAGAGCTTTTGCCCTCTATCTGGCCACATCAAATTGTTGTGAAGTGTTGTCAGATAGTGGGTGGAAGGTGAGGGGAGCGTCAATATTGAAAGAATTATAGCAGTTGTCAGTCACAGGCTAAACCAACACAGGTGCTGGTTTTAGTGTTTAAAATCCTATACAGCTTGGGACCAAGATACCTGAGGTTGGATAATCTCACCCCTGGTATACATAAATTGATCACTATGCTCTGCAGGTGAGATTTTCCTGTACTAATAGTAGTAGTAGTAGTAGTAGTGGTAATAATAATAATAATAATAATAATAATAATAATTTATAGCCCACCCATCTGACTGGGTTTCCCCAGCCACTCTGGGCGACTTCCTGCAGAATATTAAAAACACAATAAAACATCAAACATTAAAAACTTCTCTAAACAGGGCTGCCTTCCAATGTCTTCTAAAAGTCAGATAGTTGTTTATTTCCTTGACATATGATGGAATGGCATTCCACAGGGCAGGCACCACTACTGAGAAGGCCCTCTGCCTGGTTCCCTGTAATCTCACCGTGAGGGAACCGCCAGAAGGTCCTCAGTGCTGGACCTCAGTGTCCGGGCTGAACGATGGGGGTGGAGATGCTCCTTCAGGTATACTGGGCCAAAGCCCTTTAGTATCCTGTAGATACTATCTTATCAGGAGATAATTTCTGCACAATGTAATAGTCGGGCCTTTAGTGTTGTGGCACCTACCCTTACCCTTCGGAATTTCATTGCCTTGCAAAATAGAAAGACCCTGTCTCTGTTGTTTCTTTCAGTGCCTCTTCCAGCAAGTTGCCTGAGCTGAGATCTTTTTCGCTCTGCATCTGTGTTGCAATTTTTAAAAAGAGGTTTTTAACATGTTTTGTTGCTTACTGTTTTGCAGCCCTGGGCTCCTTTAGAAAGAAGGGTGCTTTAAAAATTCAATAAACAAATAAAAATTAGGTCTCATCTAGAGACATGCATGTGACATTACTTCTAGCATTAATGCTCAGAAGGGCCCTTTGCTACAGCCATGTCGTTTTCTCTCTGTGTGTGTGTGTTTTTAGGGTAAAATTTCTTTTTTAAGTAATTAAAGTTTGTGCCCCTGAAGAAAATCAAAACTCATGTAGCTCTTTAAATGAAAAATTAAGTGAGAAATGCCAGTAATGCTACCATATTCTCTTCCAGTAATGTTCCATTTTTAAGCACAAATCTTTTCTTCTGTTTCTTTGCTCTTCTTTTTCCCAAACTCTCTTGGCTCCTTTCCCTGAGCCTCCACCTCTCCTACCTGCTCCCCTGGCTAATTTCTTTCCCTGAAATGGAAATGTAGTTTGTTTCTGTACTTACCTTCTTCCGTGCTGCCACATATACAGTGGTACCTCGGGTTACAGACACTTCAGGTTACATACGCTTCAGGTTACAGACTCCGCTAATCCAGAAATAGTACCTCGGGTTAAGAACTTTGCTTCAGGATGAGAACAGAAATTGTGCTCCAACGGTGTGGCAGCAGCAGGAGGCCCCATTAGCTAAAGTGGTGCTTCAGGTTAAGAACAGTTTCAGGTTAAGAATGGACCTCCGGAACGAATTAAGTTCTTAACCCGAGGTACCACTGTATCTTTGAACTTGCTTTTTATTTACAAGGGGGTGTGTGAATGTGCAGCAAATGTATACCTCCCCTTCAAAGGCTCCCTCCCCCCTATATTATTGGGGGCAGATACGATTGCAACTAGCATGACTTTTGCACTAAGAAAAATAAGCAGCTTGTTATTTGTCTAGAAAGGCCTTTACATGTAAAAGTATCACCCTTAACTAGTTTAACCCAGCACCTTTCTTCCCTTGTCACGCACAGACTTGGAGATACTGTGAAAACCTGGGATTATCTTGTTTGCATTTCATTGTTTTCTTTTCTAGCTGCAATCCGTTTAGCTATGGTATGCTGAGTTTATCTGATTAGCACCTAATGAGCCAAAGGGTTTTGGAGAGAAAATGTTGCCTGCATTTCTGCAAATTATGGGAATTTAAGTTTGTAGTACCCTTTTCTCATCCAAATAGTTGAAATTCCTTTATCTTTCCTGCTTAGGGCTGCCAACACTCTTGATTATTGTTATTTGAAAGGCCAGTTTTGAAAGATCTTCCATAGCATTGTAAATCATCTCTTTTGGGATACCCTGAATTTGTTCTATAAGGAAAATACAGAGTAGTTGAAATCTATGTTGCTCTGTCCATGCACTGCTCTATCCATACTGATGAGAAAGATGTTGTCCTCCCTCTTGTTGCAGCTGTCATAAGCCACTTGTGGTATGAACCTTGAATAGTGTATAAAAGCAGCTGGAGTCAAAACTGATTCAAAGCCATCAGGGTCAGGACTGACAATATAAGGATGAACAATTTATACCCCACACTTCTAGTTATTTTGTCTTGGCATATGGGATCTACACATTTACTCACAAGTTATTGATTAATCAACTAAGGCTATGGTCCAAAGGACACTCAAGCAGTAAGTCCTATTGAACTTAATGGGACTGACTTCTGACTAGTCCACATCCTTCAGATTGCAGTGCACATGAACAAAGCTATTGTTTTGAACAAGAAAGAAACCCTTCTTTGTTTTTAGATTATGCCCTTACAAGTCACGGCAGTCTCTGTGAGAGAGAGGAGAAAGAACGCCTCTTCTAAAATGAAACACCACTCCTGTATTACTTTAAAATTCTTTAGTACTTTTTGCCCATCAAAACGCTTAAATGAAATAATAGACTAAACATTACAGCTTTGCTTAAAAGATTTGGACGGGCTTTAGTCAGTTTTGACTACAAGCTGCATTTAAACTGGTTTTGCCTCTGTGTTTTTCCTTGCATGAGGATCTTAGCCAGGCTGGCATTATTGTGATTAAAATGATCATCAATGTTTTGATATTTCTCTCTCTTTCCTTGCTGCTTCCTGTTCAGGTTTGCAATGATGTGTGGCTACATGTCTCAGTTTGAAAGTGTGCAGAACAAAATCAGGAATGGCTATCTCTTTAAGGTATGTTTTTGGTAGCTTTGTTAAGCTGCTGCTATTATTAAATTACTTCCTCCTGACAGCTTTGAAGACAGTGTTTAGAGTAAAAGTAACTGCCTGGGGGACATGCTTCAGTGCCAGGATTATGCTGAGGAGATGAGATTATTTTTGTATGCTCCTACCAGACATAATGAAGTAGCTTTCAAACTGAAGAAGATTTAAGTATGACTTTGTGAACCAGCCGTTCAATTTTTGTACTGCTCCCAAGTCTGAATTTCCAAAGAACAGCATGAGACGGGGAAAGAAGTGCATAATTATGTGTTTGTATTAAAAAACAACAACCCTCATTTACTCTTGGTTTACATTAACACTCTGAGGTCTGCTTGTGTCTGTTGATTCACTGCTGATGGAGTTTAAATGCAGGGCTGCTACTGATTTTAATTAAAGCAGTATTTCACCCTTACTTGGTTATTGATAAGGCATTACTTGTTGTATTCTAAACTTTAGAGTTAATAGGCCATGTGTGTTGGATAATGCTTGTTTGAGGCTTCTTCTTGATACAAAGATGACTTTGGACAACTATATTTACAGAGTGCCAGGACAAAAGGGAAATGGTTTGCTTTGTGAACTTGAGCCTATAGCCAGGCAAAGGAAAGTTCATTTTGGTCTTCTTTCTTACAGGAGCATCTAGACAAAGCTATTGAGCTTAAGCCACAAGACCCTTTTTTATATTATCTAACTGGAAGATGGTGCTATGAAGTAAGTGATCCTCAAGTCCTTTTACTAAGCAGAAGCCCTGTGAAGCTTATTTAAAATTGCACCACTGAACAATTTTACTTCTGTTTTCGGAGAGGAGTTGAGTGTGTGAAGCTTTCTATTAGAGAGCCATGCCACCTAGCCTAGTACGTTCTCCCCTGAGTGGCAGCCGAATCCAGACTCTTCTGCATGCAAAGTTCTGCCACTGAGCTCTGAGTCTATCCTAATGAAGTTTGTAAAGTGTGCCTGTGGTAGGTGATCTGTTTTATTTTATTTAGAGGATTGATCATTTGCTTTTCAATTCAAAATTCTCAAAGGGACAAAATTGAATACAATATAAAAACAGCAGAATCCAAGCAACCAAGAAAATACAAGGGGGCAAGTTGCAACTGCTAGAACAAAACAAAACAAAACAAAATACAAAGCAGTAGGTGCTAAACATGCACTTGAAGAAGAGGAAGAGGAAGAAGAGTTTGGATTTGATATCCCACTTTATCACTACCCGAAGGAGTCTCAAAGTGGCTAATATTCTCCTTTCCCTTCCTCCCCCACAACAAACACTCTGTGAGGTAAGTGGGGCTGAGAAACTTCAAAGAAGTGTGACCAGCCCAAGGTCACCCAGCAGCTGCATGTGGAGGAGAGGAGGCGCGAACCCGGTTCCCCAGATTACGAGTCTCTCGTTCTTAAGCACTACACCACACTGGCTCTCTATAGGCAATAACTTGGATCTGGAAGAAGAAGCTTGGTTCCAAAGCTTAAGGGCAGGATGCATGATGAGGCTGAGAAATATGGGACCAAGACCCCACCGTCCTCCTTGCCCTGGGAAGATGTCTGTCTCCCTCTGACGAACGTAGATGAGCCCTAGCTCACCTCTCCACTTGAAGTTTCAGAGTACTGTGTTTCTAAGCTGCTTTGAGTGCCTTCAAAACCCAGAGCAGCTACTGGGAAGATCATTGCACCTTCCCCAGCTCCAAACTAGACTGCAGGGCTGAGGTTTAGACTTCTAAAAAGTAGCGGAACAAAAAAAAAAAGTAGCAGTAGTATTCTTTTCTTCATACCCATATTTAGTGTTTGGATATCTTTTCAAAAAGGATGTAAGCTTTAAATCTACCAAGCATACTTCTTGGTACTTCTTGGACCTGAAAGCCATTAGTAAAGACATAAAGACATAAATATGCCAGACTTTCCTGTTCTTTTCACAAAAGAGAACATGCAATTTATGAGTAGCATCTCTGTTTCATGTTATTTAACTTTACCTTGAACATCACCCTACTTTGAGACTGAAATGGTATCCAAGATAAGAGAACTTCATATCCGAGTTGGAAAGGAGCCAAAACACTGAAGATAATAATCTTACTCTTATCAAGTAATCTAGACAGAATATCTCAAGAGAGAAAATTATATGTGAAGCAAGGAATTAGATGAAATCTGGGATCAATTAAAACTCAGGGAAGCAGAATTCCATACACTATGTTAATTGCATAGGCAGACAATTGATTCAGAGCAGCTATGGAAAAAACTGATTCAGAGACACTAGTGTGGGCTGCAATACATTTGCTTTCATTAGGTCACCATGATCACGGTGTTAGGTTTGGATGGGGGCAAATAACCGCTTTACATATATAGAGTTTATGGGATGGCACTGGGCAAATTGTCCCTTCGCTTAACCTACCTCTCAGAAGTATGGTTAGGTTGCACTGAGCCTAATGGGAGGGGGGAGAATGTAATAAGAAGGCATTTTCCAGAAAGGGCCCAAGTTTGAAAATTGTCTTGGCTACTTTGAGGCCAAGTACAAAATTGTACTACTTGGGAATTTGCATGGGGTTTTTTTGGTTTCTGTAAACCCCACTGCCACATCCACCTCTTTGTAGTAGTGGAATAATTTAATGTGTACTTGCACATCACTTGTTCCATCACAGTTTTCACTGGCATCCCCTCAAAGCTCCCTGGATAACCTTGGGTCAGTCACATTCTTTCTTAGCCAAGCTTCCTCCACAGAAGTCTTGTGAGGATAAAATGGGATAATCCTGCCCTGAGCTCCTTGGAGGAACTGCAGGATACAAATGTGACAAAGAAATACAGTGGTACCTCAGGTTACATACGCTTCAGGTTACATACGCTTCAGGTTACAGACTCCGCTAACCCAGAAATAGTGCTTCAGGTTAAGAACTTTGCTTCAGGATGAGAACAGAAATCGTGCTCCGGCAGCGCAGCAGCAGGAGGAGGCCCCATTAGCTAAAATGATGCTTCAGGTTAAGAACAGTTTCAGGTTAAGTACGGACCTCCGGAACGAATTAAGTACTTAACCTGAGGTACCACTGTAACATGTACAGCTCTGATATAAAAAGAAGCATTTTTTTTTTGGTGTACAATGGCTTTTGTTCTAAAGAGCAAGAAAGGATATTTCTAGACTTTCTCTATCTGGCAATATTGTATTAATAATGAAAACCCCAAAAGGCCTGTTTTGAGAAATCTCATTTATAAAGGAATTAGAAATTCTTCTGGACATATTTCCCTTTAACAGGGGCTAGAATAGAAAGTCAAAGCCCTGTATGCAATTGACATCATACATTTTTGGTGTTCTTTTAATTTTGTTGGAGATTATATATAGAAAGGTACTAGAGGCAAGCCAAGCAGTTTCTTTTTTGGGTACGAAAGCTTGTTGAGCAGTGAAAACCAAACCCTAAGCCAGCCAGAAATGAAACTGAAACCCTCAACGTCAGTTTTTATTAAATTTTGTAAGGAAACCTGTATATAGTGCCAGACACATCTCATTCTTCTAAGCTCAAGCCACAGGTTTTAAGAAGCTAATTATAAATTCCACAATGGAAAAATTAGAAGTCCTATGACATCACAGCTGACCCTTGTGTGGGATCCATCAGTGTACAGTACTATGAGTGTATGTATATTGGAATTTGGGTGGTCCACATGAATATGATATAAGCAGTATTTCCCCTCATTTTATTCTTCTGTCAAGCCATATATGCTTCGTCTGGATTAGCTGAAACTGATGCTAATGCACAAATGTTCCTCCACTTCCAAGAGAAGAAATGCTTGTCCACAACTGGCCTTACCAAAAACAACAACCCCAAACTGCTGGGAAGTTTATTTTAAAGTTTGAAGTGTCCGTTTATTTGGTGTGTTTTTTTTAATAAAAAGAACAGTAACATTTCCCTTAAGAAAGAAAGTAGGAAGAGGCTTTGAGGTTGAGGCAGGGAGGTCTATGTGCTTGCTACTTCCTATGTGATGATAGTTTTCATCCTAGAAGTATATTTGCAAGTCATTCCACTAACTAATAAAATATGTTTACATAACCTGTTTATAGTTGTAGGGAACTGTATTCTTTGTGGGTGGGAGGAAACCACTGACACATGAAGAATTTGAATGACACATCTACGGTGAAGTTTGAATATGTGTGTTTGTATACACCCAATATATCATGTTGACCAATGTGAAGTGAATTCTATTGTCTTCACTGGGACTTCTCCTTAAATGTGGATTCTTGGTGTGCCATGGTATTGTTTTAAATTCCTGCCTCCCCTCCCCCTTTAGACCAGGATACAGGAGTGTATCCTGAGATACAGAGGTGGCCATCTTGCTTATTTGTGAAAATACTTTATTTATTTATATGCCACTGAATGCCAAGATAGCTTCTCATTGGTTAGCAAAATGTAGACACTATCCATCTGAACAGGTCTGCTAGTGCAAGAACTTTTAACTGTGCAACAGAATCACCCTTTTTCCTTCCCACATGTCTGCTTATAAATATGCACCAGGGGCTGTTGGGGGAATCCCTGGAACAGATTCAGTGGGTGTTTGGAGAGAGGAGAGGATGCAGATGTTTCATTGCACAACTAAAGGTCCTTGTGCTAGCAATGCTGTTTAGTTGGATATCACCCATAAAAACCAGTTGTACAACTGAGTAGATCCAGTATGGAGCTTTTTTTCCAGGGTTGGTTAATTTGTTTTTCTTGAAGATAGCTTATTATGGTAATTGGCTTGCAAAACAACACTTTGTTTCATTTCCTAAAAGCATCTCTGAAACAACACTCTCTCCACCCCTTCTTCCTGCTGTTTCCAAAGGTGGCTCAGTTGTCTTGGATTGAGAAAAAAGTAGCTGCTGCTCTTTTTGGGACTCCGCCAACTTCAACAATTCATGAAGCTTTGCAGAATTTTCTTAAGGTAGATACTGTTTCCCACTCCCTCATTTCTCTGCAAAAGCCCACCTACCAAGTGGCTGGTGTTCAAGAAATTTGCTCAACAAGTTGTTCTCAGCAGCTATAAATTCAAAGCTCTTCTAAAGGCCAAAGATTTCTGAAATGATATCTGTAGAGGAGTAACTGCACGCATCTGCCTAAACTAAATTTAATTCATCTGTTGTGTCAGCGTTTGTTGGGATTTGGGCTGCTTAAAGTGTAAAACACCTTAAGGTTCATATGGAGAGCTGTTTATGTGAAAGTTGCACCTGTTAGAGCTTTTGGCTTGTGAATAGGATCCTGACTGAAAGAAACCTGGCATGATGTATTGTGCAAGTTGCAAGCTGTAATTTGCAGGTTCTGCCCAGAACAGGTGGGCAGCACCATCCACCCAGTGCCACGCTGGTCCTGCTTTTTGAGCTGCAAACTGCCTTGTGGCCCTCCACCTCATTGAAACTGGGGCCATTTTAATTTAACTTATTCACCTCCTCAAGTGCCCCCTCACTGGGTCTGTGTCCCCATGGGTCCCACAATGCCAAATGTGGTACCTCAGTGGCAGAGTTCCCTGCCATTCTTTGTTCCACACACTTTGGGTTATTGGTGGCAAGCAGTTGCAGCCTCAGCTGCTGGGTTCACCATTTCCTACCGTGCTGTGTCTTTCTGTCCCCGGCCTGCTATTGTTGCATGCCTGGCAGATATTCCACTACCACCACCAAATGGTGTAGCCCCTAGGCCTAAGTCCAGGGCTAACAGTCCTACTGTTTCTAGGAGGATCTTTGTGCTTTATTATAAATATTCCGTTGACTTTGGTGTTCTTCATCTTTTTCTCTTCTTGGTCAGGCTGAAGAACTACAACCTGGATATTCGAAACACAATTATGTCTATTTGGCAAAGGTAAGTGAAACTAGTCTGCTCTCTTCTTTTAATATAATGCAGAGATTTCTATTAACTTAGGTACCTGGTGTGATGTTTTCCCTCCTCTCTCCCGTCCAGTGCTACAAAGATCTTGGCCAGAGGACCAATGCGCTGAAGTTCTGTGACACTGCATCATCAATCCTGTCAGTCACCAAAGAGGTGCGTCTGAAGCCACATTTAAATGTTATTTATTTATTGGACTTGTATATCACCCTTCATCATAAGATCTCAGAGCAGTTCACAAGATAAAAATGCAAGATAAAAAAATAAATAGCTAAAAGAAAAAACAACAATAACCTCCCCCTTCCCACAGACACATTTAAAAGGCTGTAGAATATTATTCAGCCAAAGGCCTCATTGAAGAGCAATGTTTTCGCCTGGTACCTAAAGATATATAATGAAGACGCCAGATGAACTTCCCTGGGGAGAGCATTCCACAAAAGGGGGATGCCTTCTTTGGAAGCAGTTTCTGCTGCCTCATCAGTCACCTAGGGATGTTATGATACAGTCATGTATCATAGCCTGAATCATTAAGGTCTTTTCCATGCTATTGTTGGTCGTGATGATGAAGTACAGGGTCTGTATGGTGGTACTTGTCTTCTGCAGCTTTCATGTACTTTAAAGGGTGCCTGCAGAGGAGAGCTTCCTGGTACGTTGTACTTTTATTTCTGTAGAGCAGGAATGGGAAAGATTGTGGCCATCTAAATATTTAACTCCCAAACCCTGTCAGCCCCAGCCAGTGGTCAAGTGCTGCTACAGTTGTAGCTCCACTATATCTGGAGGGCCACAAGTCCCCAACCTCCTCTTCCTCTAGTGCTCTAGAGGAACAGTTGGGAAAAAAAAGAGAAGTCCTGGGCCCAAATCGTTATGAAATATGGCAGTTGCATGCAAAGTAGAAGGTGGCTTGTGACATCCCCAGTGTGACTGATTGCAGTAACACATGGAAACTGCGTAAATCGAGTAAAAACTAATATGATGAAATTCTGTTTAAACAGAGGACTATTATAATAGTGATGCTTATTTTAATGAGGAACTGGGTGGCATGCAGTGCAGTTAGTCACACTGATCAGATGAGCTGTGACTCTCTGATTTTGAAGTTCTGCATTAGAATTGACATAGGTAATTCAGTAAGCAGTCTGGAGCGTTCCTTAAGGCTATGAAGCCCAACATCGGAGGCCCACCATGCAAAATGTGCTACAGATGCACTTAAATATAAGATGGGTGGTATTTTTTTGCAGGGAGGAGGAAGACTTGATTCAGATAAATTATATCTCATTTACTTACGCAAGAAGTTTGAAATGTGGAATTCTGTAGTGCAAGCTTTGGGACCAGTGCTGCGAGCAGGTTCAGGTGGGGAAGTTGTCTGGCATCTCTTCCTGTTACTTGACAGTATTTTGGCAAAGATTTGCAATGAGTACAATAAATATCTTTCAAGGCACTGATACATAATTTCTTAGTTTGGTTATGTTGTCTTAATGTTGTTGAAAGTACTATCAAGCAAAAGCTTGCTGTGGACACATTAATTATGGAGTTGGATAGATTTCTGAAGTCTTCTCGGATCTCCAGTCCAGTTCATGCTCCAAGATAAACTAAGAGGTCCTTCACAGCTCTGTCTGGCTAGCTTGAGATTTCATATCCTTCCCAAGTGGCTCATTCTGCTATAGAATTCCTATGAGGTTTCCTAACACTTACCCTAAATCTGTTATACTGCACTTTAATCCTACAGGGCACATTTCAAAAGTCTCCAAGACTTTAATGTGTCCACAGAGTTGTTAATTCCTAGGGGTTGCCTGGTTTTTCTGTGTATTGCAGGGTGCTCTGCATTTTATCTCTCCAGCTTACCACGGCTTGTAATGTGGCCTTCTCAGTGGTGACCCTCCAGTTGCAGAATATTCTTCTTGTAAGGCAGGCCAGTATTATTCTCCCCATATTGCAGTGGGGATGGGAGGACCAAGGATGAGTGAAAGTAGCTTACCTAAGGCCATCTCATGATATCATAGTGGAGGTGAGGCTTCAGATAGCAGTTTCCTGGCTAATAGTTGACATTCTTAGCCATTATGGGTCACTGGCTCTCAGATGTAATGAGATTACTCTAACAAACCATGACTTGTGTGAACATAAGCAATGAGCTTGAACACTCCCTCTTCTTCTCTGCTCAGCTGCAGAGGAGATTTATTTGTTTCTTATACCTCAGTGTTCAATGACATCTGATCCAGTTGTTTTGAACATCCTGTCAACGTCTGAACCAGGCCTGTTTCTTCTGTTCCCCTTCTTGTTTTACATTGAGTTAAAAGTAGTCAATACTGCTTTCCATTGTTTCTTCTTCTTATGACGAAACTACCAAGTTGCTGGAGATTTGCATCAAACAGCATGTTGCCTCTTCTGTGTATCTTTTTTGCTATTAGCTAGAAATGAACTCACTGTGGGGGTTCAGTTCCTATCATCTGCTGTTGGCCAGGAAGCTTTTGTCAATGGATCCTGAAATATCAGTGCCCGCTGAGTGTTAACAACATTGCAGAGCTAAACCCTTCCCCAGTTATCTTTGTGTATGCCTTGTCCCATCAGTATGGTGGTTGGGACTTGTGATTCCCAGAGTACAGTGACTGGGAATCAAGCCCAATACACCTTGCATAAAACTGAAGACTAATTCATGCATATACCTGGCTGTGTAGGATACTGCTTAAAATAGAACCAGTTTATTGCAGCTCCAAAAGACCAAGGCAACTGCTCCATGCAAGTGTCTGTGCAGTACTGGTGTCCTCAGCCACAGCATTACTAAATTTGCAGTGGTCAGAAGTGCCTCATGCTGCTGTGGAGCCACATCACACAGACAACTTGCTGCTTGGAGATGTAGCGCCCACAGGGTTCCATTTGAAATGGTCATATGCAGACGAACTGAGCTTTGCAACTGTAGAACAGTGACTTTGTGGGAGACACCAAATAAATCAAAATGCAATGCGATCCAAAACAACCATAACTATTGTAATAGACTATATTTGACTTCTAAATATATGTGTTTGAAGGGCCTAGAAATGATGATAATGTAAGCCACAAACGTCAAGCCACAGGAATGCCTGGGTTCACTTAAAGTCTTCCAAAAGGTGATGACTGGAGGATGAAAACCTTTATTAGTATCCGTTAGAATGTAATGTAATGAATACTTCAATGCAGGAGGAAGTTGGAAAGGAAAATCATTGTATCAGGTTAGCCCCCCACCCTTTGTTCAGCTTTCTACTGAGCTATTGCATAATGATTAAAAGGAAGAATGAACTAGTTATATTTTCCTAGTCCATGAACACTGAAAATAATCCCTTGTTTTGATGCAGAAATTGGCAGTGGGTATAGAAGCTCTGGGTGGTTCCTCATATGCAATGTCTTTTTTTTCCTTTTAGGATAAAGAGGCTGATGAAGATTTAGAAACATTGCTTCCGTCACTGAAACTGTGAACCAAACAACAACAAGCACTTTTCGTTATGTTTTTGAATGATACTGTGAAAGGCATCTGGGAACCCAGATCCAAGTTCTGAAAGCACGCATATGTGGGTTTTGTGGAGTTCAGTGGGGTTTATAGCCATGGAAGGCTTAGAATTTGGGGAAACAGGGCTGAGATAATACCAAAGGGTTGTATCTAAGGCTGGCTTTGATCTAGTGGAAAGCACTTCCACTTGCACAAGATGATGCACCCAGTTTCACCAGTTACCTACTGTTGTGTCCTCTGCCTATCCCATAACGTTTCAGAGGGTTTCCCAACCCACGGGAGCAGCTTTTGAGGAGGCAGGTGGGGGAGTGGGTATGGAACACTGCAATGGATAGGGGTGGGACAGGCAAAAAACAGGTGCCTCTCATGTACAAGCAGAAGTGTTTTCCATTATTACTACAAAGCCACTGCTGGGTATAATCCCAATACAATCCCAATAATAAAGTCAAGGGACGGATGGATCTGTCAATTTCAGTTTTCTAAGTTTCTCATTTTTCCGGTCTTCAGTTCAGTTCTCCACATTGTGGCAGCACCCTGCAGGATCCTGCTCCACTTTTAAATACTAAGGGAAGGAGAGTGCCAGCATTTTAGTGTGAATTTCTTCTCATAAACACAATTTTGTATGCATAATTTTGACTAACATCCATACCTTTGGAAGCAATTTTCCCCAATACATTTATGTATGTTATGTTAACTAATACTCATTTCTATGCACACTTTCTCATAACATATGCATTTTTGTAAATATTGTGCAGTTGGAAAACTGCACTGCAAAATTCATAGAATTGCTAATTTTGAAGGATAGCTGTGTTTCAATTCTCCTATTGTTCCAGAATGTGCAATTTTGGTATGTTCCCCTTTAAATGTGAACTGAATCTAATTTCTTCCCCAACCCTAATGAAGTCTGAAACCCCAGGGAAAAAAGTCATTGGACTGGATTACTTCAAGCCCATTAAGAATGTAGCAGTTACTCATGTGCAGCAGGTATCATATGCCTGCATTAACACAATTCTTTACACTAGACACCCATTCAGCCACATATTGTTGGTTATGCTGTAAAAGAATCCACCAGTGGAGTCCAATCATGTGACTGTTTACTGAGAAGTCTGACCCAGCAGGCTCTTCTTATGTTCTTATGCTAAGCAGGATTTTCTTGAATGCCACCCCAGACTCCTGTTCGAATGGGTTTGTTGAGGCATGCCAACACTCCCAATTCTCCATATGGTGGCTGGTTCACATGAAGCCTTATTTGTGAATGCACAACACCAACTTAAAGCATCGCCATATGTCTCAGACATTGCCCTGTTTTGACTGGGCTGAAAAAAGTGCAGCTAACTCTGGAATTGGTTTTAGTTTTAAATGCTGCTTTTTCTCCTTGGCAACATATACTCATGGGCTCTCTGTAGCAGAACACATCCATGATCACCTCATCCCTTTTACAGTGGTACCTCGGGTTAAGAACTTAATTTGTTCTGCAGGTCAGCTCTTAACCTGAAACTGTTCTTAACCTGAGGGTACCACTTTAGCTAATGGGGCCTCCCACTGCCGCTGCGCCACCACCCTGCAATTTCTGTTCTCATCCTGAAGCAAAGTTCTTAACCTGGGGTACTATTTCTGGGTTAGCGGAGTCTGTAACCTGAAGCGTATGTAACCCGAGGTACCACTGTACAGACTTAATCTGCAATGAATAAGTTGTCCATCGGGGCCCTTAGGTGAATGTCGCCAAGGAAATTGGAGCATGGAAATCATGCATTTGTCTCTTTAAACACATTTCTACTAGTATTAATTTTTAAGACTTTGCTGGGAATCTCCAAACATAAAATCCACTGCTGGCAATGGATATCTTGATGGTCATTAATCGCCTTGAGAGTGACTAGGAAGCTAGTCTTCATTGCCGACAGAGGCATGGAAGGTTAAATTGATGTGCACTTGTTCTTTTCCTTTTTCTCTTGGAAAGTATGTAAGTTGTGGGAGAATTGCTCTTTGAGGCTGTTATTTTAATCTCTGGATTTTAAATAGAAATATAATATTTTATAAATCATGTATTTACATATTATGCTGTTCTTGAAACATCTGAAATTGAAATATTAAATGAGATTTGGAATTGCCTGCTGTGGTAGTATATTTCTATATGCATAGTGACAAAGTGAGTTGCTTCAAGGCACTGCTTCTGGTGAACGACTGATCTAATGTAAAGTCTATGTATATTGGAGAAGGAACCTGAACTGAACATGGGCAGCATGAAGAGTCTGGAGAGTTTCAAGTCATAGCAGTGAAGCCTCAGTTGTCCTCACCCCTTCCCAGTTTCCACCTGCTCAAGTCCACTTATATAAACAGTTTAATACAGGCAATTTGTTGCAATCTGGGCATCTGACCAATTCTTGTTTGGATCTATGATTAGATAATCCTTTCAGACTTCACAGCATCAAACTTTGTCTTCCATAGGCAACAACTATCTTACTAAATGAATGCATTTGTATATTTGATATCTTTCAAGAGAAATAGATGGTCCTGATGGCTGCCCTTGTAAATCTTTACTATCCCTTCTGTGGTGGTGTTCCTATAGCGGAGATGGTGTTACAACAAAATTGTGCATACTCCAGAACGTCCAAACCTTTTAAATATAGCTTTAAAGGCCCGTCTTCCCCTTCAGCACTCTGCTTCTTATCCACATTGCTATTGATTGCTTCTGTTTTGGTTTATCATCCAAACTTGTGTCATGCCTACTGTTTTTGCTTCCTCTCAGCCACTTTCTGGAGGGATGACTGCTTAGAAATATGGAATATTTTCTTGAATGTGCACACTTCCTGTCCCATCTCTTTCTCTAGCTGAATAATCTGTGTATGCACATCCCTACCCCCCCCAAAAAAAAACAATCCTGGGAACTATAGTTTAAGGGTGCTGTGAATGATAGCTGTGATGATTCTTTATGGCAGCTGGAAAACATGCTTTTCAACATGGTGCATACATAGCTGTCTCCTGTAAACCGCCTTTTATCCATAGATCTCAGGGCGGTTCACAACATAAAATTACAACGCTGAGTAGGGAAAGTCCACCTTTCCTAATGCTGACTTGCCTGTCATAGCTGGGGCCGATTTGCATATTTAGCTCGCTAAAGATAGCTTTTACAAATACTGCTCAAAGCCACAAACAATTCTGGCACTGATAGGTTTCATATTTACATAACGCTGAAAATAGTTCCCTATTATATTCTATGCTTAACACAATAATGTTAGTGTTTTCGCAGCTAATTGAGACTTGCTACAATAAGCTAGCAAGCATTATTTCCCATACATTCCAGAAGCTTCTGGCATCCATTTTGTGTCGTCTTTCTGTGTGATTTTGATTCCTGGGGATGATGGCTTAGCCACAAAACACATCTAAAAAGGGGGAGGGGAGGAATGAATCGGCACCATTTCACTTATGCACGTTTAATATGCAGGCTGTACCACTCTCCTTCCCTTAGGAGCAAAATAATCTGAACCATTTATTTGCTGAACCACCCAGAAAACACAGTTGTGCTGCCTCCCTGCCATCTTTCTTGCCAAACCTAATGTAATCTTAAACTTGTGAGCTACCCAGCCAAGTTTTGAGTGACTTAGTACATGGTTTTTATGCCAAGCAGACAGGCAAACCACTCAGCAGTGACCACAAGCTTGTCAGTAAGCTATACCTGACACAGAAGAGTCCCAGGGGCAGGAAGAAGAACCATAATTTCCAAACTCCAAGTGTGTAAAAGTGCTCAAATATCACATTGCTCGAGTGTATCTTGCAGTGAAAGGTTGCTTGACTTCCACATCCTTATGTGCTCTGATTACACATATGTTTATGTGTGTTTGTGCACATGTGTGTGTATATAGATATAGGTAGATAGACGATATAAAAAAGTAAAGGGTCTGCATTACTTTTTTCCTTTCGTGTTTACTTTATATGGTCAGTTTATTTAGTAATTAGATCATTTCCCTATACCACGTGGGCCATGCAAGGGAGCTGATGTTATACATGTGGGCATTTTGTAGAGTGTTAACAATGCTTACTATGCTTTATTGATCATAGGATAAATGCATAGTTCTTGCTGCATGGTATTTGCATAGGCTGTTTTAGCACAGCTCCTCTTGTGACATATTCTGAAGTTGTCTTAAGAACTTGCATAGGCTAAAAGATAGTAAAACAATGGCTATAAATGGCTCTGTTTAAAACTCCCATTATCAGGAAGAGGAGAAACATAATATCACTCTCTAAGGAAACTGGTCTTGTCGTTTGAAATATTTACACTCGATGATGGAAAGCAGACTGCAATAAATTGCAGAAGAAAACCCATTTTGTGCTTTTTAATACTCCCCTGGCAGAAAAAGTTCCTACCATATGATATGGAAGCAATCTACACTGTCAGTCATACAAAGGCATGTGTTAACTGCTCTCACACAGCATTTATGGGTTTGGCAAAATGCATTTCTTACACATGTCATTTGCCAGTGTTCTATTAATGGAAATAAATATAGCTTAGGGATATTTAGCCATCTTTTTATTTTATGGCTAAAGAATATTGCTTTGTCCAAATCACCACTCAAAGTAACTCATACTGCAGGGTCCAGCAAGGGGAAATCTGTGGGTACTATTGATATTATTACACATTGCAATGTTCACATAGTCCCTATTGATCTTGATAAGTGCATGTACTGTAGCTGCATACTCTCCATGCCTTTAAAACGCGTTCTTTCCCCTGAAGATTCCTAGGATTTGTGGTTTATTCCTCACACTCTCTAAACAAACTACAGCTTCCCGGCTTCTCCATGGGGAAGCAACATGCTTTAAATGTATGGTTAATGCACAGCCATAATTCAGATAAAAGTACACATTCCCAGGTGCCAACAAATCCAATTGCCAGGGGAACGCTGGTGGACCAGCCCTCCTTGTTCTGGTAGGTAATAATGAGGCTTTTAAGTTTTACTGTTGCTTGTTTGTGATGATTAGACTAAATTGAAAGGGTAAGAATCACGTCTGGAGGGATGCGGGTGGTGCTGTGGGTTAAACCACAGAGCCTAGGACTTGCCGATCAGAAGGTCGCGGTTCGAATCCCCGCGACGGGGTGAGCTCCCATTGCTCGGTCCCTGCCCCTGCCAACCTAGCAGTTCGAAAGCAAGTCAAAGTGCAAGTAGAGAAATAGGTACCGCTCCGGCGGGAAGGTAAACGGCATTTCCGTGCGCTGCTTTGGTTCGCCAGTAGCGGCTTAGTCATGCTGGCCACATGACCTGGAAGCTGTACGCTGGCTCCCTCGGCCAATAAAGCGAGATGAGCGCCGCAACCCCAGAGTCTGTCACGACTGGACCTAATGGTCAGGGATCCCTTTACCTTTAAGAATCACTCTGTAAGAAAGGGGCAGGGAACCTGTGGCCCTCTGGATGTTGATGGGAGTTGGAATCCAAGAAAATCCAGAGGGAGGGATATTTTCCCTCTTTGCTGCGAGATAATACTTATTGAGACTGGAAAAATAAGAGGGCTGTTGCTTTCAGTTTTTTTGTAGTGACTATTGCAAGGGACTAAATGCCAAATTTGAAGAAATTTGAAATAGGAGAAGTTGGATACTTTTTTGAAGGGATTCCTACTTCGGATTAGTAACTTAAACTTTGCAGGTTTGTTTGCATTTTGAACACTAGCACCAATATGGTAAGGCAACCCCACTATGGAAAGGACACTAAACACCTTGTCCACTATGATACAGCTCCCAGTATTTCCATTTTTGTACTAGAGCACAGCGCTACATGAGGAGCACTGCCAGCTGCTGTGTGCACATACTCTAGGAGTGCTATACGAAGAGAGAGTTGTAGAAACATATTCACACTGAAAAACCTTCAGTCATACCGACTCTGGTCAACGCAGGCCGAGATTGTCCCAAGGGTCAAGCCTGCTTTTGGGATCCTGTACGTAGCTGTGCATTTTTCGTCCTGATTGCACTGGCAATTGCTGTTGAAGGGAGTGCTGGGCCAGCAGTACAGAAGGTTCCCATTAGTGCCGAAAGCAGAAACATGTGGGAATGTCATGAACAACTTGCTGGCTCATTTCAGCCTCAGGGGTACCTGATTGATCACTTGAGGCTGGCCAGTCCCCTTCATTACGCACGGCAGAAGGGGGCAAATATGCATGAAATAGCCTGAAAGTTGCTCTAAAATAACAGAAGATACAAAAGGGGGAGGTCACATTGCTCTCTATTCTGCCTCTGTTGCATCTGTTGTTGTCATCTGTCTTGGGAGCCTTTTGGGGTGAAGTCAAACTGTTGGAGAGTTACACTGCCTGTTATTGCATCATTAATAATAATGCACATTTCAGAGGATGAGAGTTCCTAATAGACAATGGCCTGGGTTGCACATTTAGGAGTAAATGTGTCCCATTCTTGCCTGGTGGATCTCCATGCAGCCTATAGCTTATGGTACACAGGTTTTTGGTTTATTTCTGGCTTACCACTCATAGTTTGATTGAATATATTTCTTTTTGGAAATAAACCACAGTTCAGGTTTGGAATGCACCACAAGCTATAGACTGAGCTGCACAGGGAGGTGGGGGTGGGGGGTGGGAGAAGCCATGCAGGAGTTTGTGTGAGCAGATAGAGACATGTTCACCATTAAACCATCATTTAGGTAATTCTGTGACTTACACAATTGCCGGGGTATTTGTACATGCTATATCAACAATACCTTCAACAATCCTGTAAGGTGTGCCAGCCTCACAACAGGTAGCTGGTTGCAGGCTTGTTTAAGCCTCTTACTATTTGGTTCCTGATAAGTCCCCTTTATATCCCTCTTAAAGGAATAAACACAACACAGTCTTGTGTAAAGTATATAAAAGACTACTCACATCATCAGTTCACATTTGGATCCCTGAAGGCAGACTTAGTTACAAAGTATATACATTTGTATCTACCCCATAGAGGGGGATAATCCCAGTGACTGCAGACTAGCAGTCACTGTAGCTCACACGACGAAAGGAAGATGGAGAAGAGTTGAAAAGAAGGGAAGTGTGCTGCGTGCCTTGCCCTTTTGTTACCTGAACAGGTAAGGTCATGCCCACCTCTAGTCACATGCAAGAGGAAGGATGTTCCAGGCCAGGAGGAAACAGGAAGTTTTTTTTTTTTTTTTTACTTCCGGAGGCGGCGCCAACAGTAATGGCGATCTCCTCATAACTCTTGAGGAGAGGCTCCGCGGAAACTGGGTCGATCCGCTACGGCGCAGCGGAGACCCTTCCGAAACCCGCAGGCGGAGGAAGCCTGCGGTCGTGGGACTCGGCGGGTGCCTGGAGCGCGCCCTAAACAGCGAAGGAACCCCGTAAGGGGCTCCGAAGCAGGACGGGGGCGGCGCGGCACTGTGAGTCGTCTGCTACTTTCGCGGAGTGAAGCCGTGCAGCTGTTGCTGGAGAGCGCTGACCTTTCTTCCTTGACAATTCGGCTGTCAAAAGTACAACCCGTGAGTAGGTTTCACGCTATAAGGATTAACAAAAATTTTTGAACTTATTCGGCTGAAGCGGGAATGGTGTAAAAGGAAGTCCACCTCCCGGTCTGTACAGAGAATAAAGCAAAGACTGTGTGAGTTCGATACCAATGAATGCCAAAAGAGACTGAAACACAGACTTCTAATGTAAAATTTCCCCCCCCATAATTGGACTAGGGGGGGAAGAAGAGATAGTATTTCTTGTTATTTACTGTTATTTCTGAGTAATTTAAAGAGCAAATAAGAAAATAAAAGACCACCTCTCAATCCCTGGGGACAGACTGCCAGGTTTTGGAAAGATTGGACACTTTGTTAGCACTCTAAATGGACAATGTATCTTTTTGCCTTTTAACTTTACAAAATTGAAACTTTGGGACAGTTTTACAACTTTGGGAAAAAGTTGCCTCTTTGGCTGTTTGAGAGTCTTTATTCTTGATACTTTATTACTTGTGTCCCCCTGGAGGCCAAAAGGGAAAAAGTCTTTAATTGACTGAGGAATTTTCCACCTAACAGCAGCCTGGGAAAGTACAATAACAAAACAATTTTGACTGTGAGAGTGACCTTGACTTTTAGATAAAGTGCCATGGAAGGAAGAGATCTGAGGTCTGGGAAAGGCAGGCAGCAGAGCAACATTGCACAACAGCAACAGCGTAGGCAATCCATCGCTGGACCACAAGGGGAGGAAGAAGGATTGGCCAGTTTATTTAAAATTGTGAATGAAGGTTTTGAAAAATTGGGTCAACAAAATGCCGAGGCTCTAGAAGCCATTAGACAAAATTCTGCAAGTATTGACAAGTTGACCCGACAGACTAATGAAAATACAGATGTGATTAAAAAACTACTGGAACAATCTGCTGAAACCCAAAAACAGCTTTGGAAGCCAGAGAAAAGGCGGTAGCTGCTGAAGAAAAACTACCACCTTTAATTAAACAAGTTCAAGAGCACCACATAAGATTGGGAACGCACCAGGAATTGTTATCTCTTCTTGAGTTAAAGGAGAAACAGACCAACTTAAGGATCAGAGCAGTACCTGAGATTGAAAAAGAGAGCCTGGCAGACTTTCTGACGCAAGAATTTGCCAACTTTTGGCAATTGAATGATAAGGAAGATTTCAAGATAACGTCTGCTTTTAGGCTCGGAAGAAGAGCAAGGAAAAATAGAGTGAGAGACTGCCTGATTACCCTGCGATCAAAAGAGGAACGAGATAAAATTTTGAGCTTACATTATCAAAATACACTGACAATACAAGACTCAAGGATAGAAATATTTAAAGACATTCCAAAGCTTCTTTTGGAGCTTAGGTCTAACTATCGAGACCTGGTGACGTTGCTGAGAGGAAACAGAATTTTTTTCAGGTGGGAGTTCCCTCAAGGCCTATCTTTCAGTTTTAGAGGCAAAAAAATTAAAATTAAATCTGTGGAGGAGAAACAGAACTTTTGAGAGACTACCAAGAGGACCTACAAAAAGGATTGGAGCCAGAAGCCCCTTTAACAGGATTGGATCTTACATTACCACCGTTGGGAGAGGATAAGACAGAGAAGCCGAAACCACCAACAGAGGAAGAAGAGTTATTGGGAGCAGTTGGAGGGAAATAAAGAAATCATCATGGCTCTGCAACTTTTAACTTGGAATGTTTGTGGTCTGAATTCTCCGGAAAAAGAAGGAAAGTATTTCATATACTTAAAAAAGAACAATTGGACTTAATTTGCTTACAGGAAACCCATGTGACGAGGCTCCATAGGAAAATATTGATTAATAAGAGACTGGGCCAAGAATTTATCTCATCAGACAAAGTTAAAAAACGAGGAGTGGTAATTTACGCAAAGGAGAGCCTCTCACCAAAATTTGTCTTTAAGGATGAACAAGGAAGATTCATAGCAATTGAAATTCAAGTACAAGGAGAAAAATTTTTGATAGTAGGTGTATATGCACCAAATGAGGGGAAATCTATATTCTACAAAAAGTTGCATGAGACCTTGATGGACTATATGGACTATAATACTGTTTTCATGGGAGATATGAATGGGGTGGTTTCTACAAATATGGACAAGTCACAAAGAGAGGTAGTTACTAAAGATGGTAGACTACCGAAAACATTTTTGAACTAACTGACAATATGGATTTGATTGACATTTGGAGAACTAAGAACCCCCTTGATAGAGAAGGAACCTTTTTTTCTGAAGCCCAGAAGACATGGACAAGAATTGACCAAATCTGGACTACTAGAGGACTGGCACCCAAGGTTAAGAAGGTAGAGATCTGCCCAAAAACATGCTCCGACCATAACGCCGTGAGAATGGAGATGAAGTTAACACCTATTGGTTCCTTCCGATGGAGGATGAATGACACCTTGTTTAGAGATCAAGAGGTGATTAAGAAGGCCCAAAAGACATTGAGGGACTATTTTGAGATAAACTTGAATACAACTGTAGAAAAAGAGTAATCTGGGATGCAAGCAAAGCTGTTATGAGGGGCTTCCTGATTCAACAGAATTCAATTAAGAAGAAGGCCCAAAACGTAAAGAAAGAAAAAATTTTGGAAAAAATAAAGGAGGGCGAGAAGAAATTGAGAGTGAAGCCCAATTCACAAGAGATTCTGAGGGAAATAAAATTGTACCAAGTGCAATATATGAAATTGATAAATCAAGAAGTGGAATGGAAAATTAAGCAAATGAGACAAAAGACTTTTGAATCGGCAAATAAATGTGGGAAACTGCTGGCCTGGCAGTTGAAGAAGCGACAAAAACTTAATACTATTACTAATTTGGAAGTGGAAGGGAAAAATATCCAGAATCCAGAAGAAATTAGGAAATGCTTCCAGAGATATTTTAAACGACTATACACACAAGGGCCTCAGAAAGAATTCGAGATAGAGCAATTTTTGAAAACCAATGGATTACAAAAAATTTCTCAGGACAACAAGATATTGTTGAACTATAAAATCACAGAACAGGAGGTTGAAGGTGCCATTCAGAATATGCAGTTGGGAAAATCTCCAGGACCGGATGGTTTAACCTCAAAATATTACAGAACTTTGAAAGACTGGTTAATTCGACCTTTAACTGAGGTTTGTAATGAAATCTTAGAGGGGAAAAGAGCGCCAGAGTCGTGGAAAGACGCATTTATTACACTTATACCAAAGGCCGAGACTGAAAAGACACAGCTTAAGAACTACCGGCCCATATCCCTGTTAAATGTGGATTACAAAATTTTTGCAGACATTTTAGCAAAAAGGCTTAAAAAGTGCTAAAAGGAGTGATTCACAAGGACCAAGCTGGCTTTCTTCCAGATAGACATCTCTCGGACAACACAAGGAACATAATTGATATTCTGGAGAAGCTGCAAGAGGAGATCAATACTAAAGCAGTTTTGATTTTTGTGGATGCAGAGAAAGCCTTTGACAATATTTCTTGGAGCTTTATGAAAAATCTTCCGGGGATGGGGGTAGGCCAAGAGTTTGAAAATGGTATAAATGCAATTTACTCAGAACAAAAAGCTAAATTAATAGTTAATAATGTGATAACAGAGGAAATTAAGATAGAGAAAGGGACACGACAAGGCTGCCCAATTTCCCCATTACTTTTTATTTCTGTTCTGGAGGTTTTGTTAAATATGATAAGAAGGGACCATCTGATTAAGGGCATAACGGTCGGAGCGAAACAATATAAATTGAAAGCATTTGCAGATGACCTTGTATTGACATTACAGGAGCCAGAATCTAGTACGAAAAGAGCATTAGAACTGATTCAAGAGTTTGGTCAGGTGGCAGGTTTTAAGTTGAATAAGCTTAAAACTAAAGTACTTGAGAAGAATTTAACACCGATTGAAAAAGAGAGGTTTCAGAATGAGACAGGTTTAACAGTGGTAAAAAAAGTGAAATATCTGGGGATTCATATGACAGCTAAAAACGGGAATTTATTTAAAGACAATTATGAAAAATGTTGGTCGGACATTAAAAAGGATTTAGAAATATGGACAAATTTGAAGCTTTCCTTGTTAGGGCGAATTGCTGTCATCAAGATGAATGTATTGCCAAGAATGTTGTTTTTGTTTCAATCGATACAAATAATAGACAAAATGGACTGTTTTAAGAAGTGGCAGAGAGATATTTCTAAGTTTGTCTGGCAGGGCAAGAGGCCTAGGATAAAATTTAAAATATTGACTGATGCTAAAGAAAGAGGGGGATTTGCCCTGCCAGATTTTAAACTTTATTATGAATCAGCAGCTTTCTGCTGGTTGAAGGATTGGCTACTTCTGGAAAATACTGATGTATTGGACTTAGAAGGTTTCAATAATGTGTTTGGGTGGCATGCATATCTGTGGTATGACAAGGTTAAAGCTCACAAAATGTTTAAAAACCATATTGTCAGGAAAGCATTGTTCAATGTCTGGATAAGATACAAAGACTTATTGGAGAATAAAACCCCAAGGTGGCTATCACCAATGGAGGCAAAGGCCCTAAAAAGTCCAATATGGAGGCCAAATGGCCAAAATATTGGGAGATCTTGGAACAAGAAGGAGACAAATTCAAACTGCAGAGTTTTGAAAAATTAAAAGATAGAGTGCGAGACTGGTTGCATTATTACCAAATAAGAGAGGTCTATAATTTGGATAGAAAAATTGGCTTCCAGGTGGAAAAATCAAAGTTGGAAACAGAACTGCTAGATTCCAAAACTAAAACACTTTCAAGAATGTATAACTTGCTGCTAAAATGGAATACTCAGGATGAAACGGTAAAATCTGCTATGATTAAATGGGCACAGGATATTGGACATAATATTATGTTTGCTGACTGGGAACGGTTATGGACCACAGGTATGAAGTTCACAGCATGTAATGCTTTAAAAGAGAATATTATGAAAATGGTGTACAGGTGGTACATGACTCCAGTCAAGCTTGCAAAAATCTACCATTTGCCCGATAATAAATGTTGGAAATGTAAGGAAACTGAAGGTACATTCTTTCACATTTGGTGGACGTGCCCAAAGATTAAGGCCTTCTGGGAAAGGATATATAATGAGTTAAAAAAGGTATTTAAGTATACCTTTCTAAAGAAACCAGAGGCCTTTCTCTTGGGCATTGTTGGCCAATTGGTGCTAAAGAAAGACAGAACTTTTTTATGTATGCAACAGCAGCAGCAAGAATACTCATCGCAAAGTATTGGAAGACACAAGATTTACCCACTCTGGAAGAATGGCAGATGAAGGTAATCGAATATATGGAACTGGCGGAGATGACTGGCAGAATCCGTGACCAGGGAGAAGAGTCGGTGGAAGAAGATTGGAAGAAATTTAAAGTCTATCTACAGAAATACTATAAAATTAATGAATGTTAAATTGAAGTCTGATTGAAAATAACTGGTATTGGCAAAAGCTTTGTGATTAAGAGTATGGAATATTTGATGGATAAGGTTGTAAAAATATTTATATATAAATAGATTAAGTTTTTTGAGTTAAGATAATGAAAGGAGGGTAAGGATTTGCTGAAAGGAGTTTTTAAATGGAAGTGCAAGCGGGGAGATGCGGGGAAGTCAAAGAACTAGGTAAAGATAAGAAGGCTAAATGAAAGTATAAATATCTTTTAAATTTTTCTGCTTCTTTTTCTTTGTTTTCTTTTTTTTTCTTTTCTTGTTATGGATATTGTCATTTCTGTTTGTTTTTTGTCATGGTTATTGTTGTTTTTTGTTTGTTGAATTTTTGTCATTCTGTAGTTTTTGGAATTTTTTCTTGTAAAACCAATAAATATCTTATAAAAAAAAAAAAAAGGAAACAGGAAGTTTTA